CTTAAGGAGGGTTTTGTGAAGTTTCTAAAAAGAAATGATGTTTTGTGGACCTAAGAAACCATGATTAAAAGTCGGCAGAGTATAGAGATATAGGGATGAAATCTTGTTATTAAACGATTCATGCCATGACAGAAATTAGGGAAATAAGTATGTAACTAAACATAAATACTCACCAATGTCCCCTTGACCTGAGTAGTATATTGACCTCTTTCGCTGTCCGATACTAGCTTGGAGAGCCCAAAATCTGCGACCTTTGCATTCATATGTTCATCCAGAAGGATATTCGTAGATTTTATATCTCTATGGATAATTGGTGGGTTTGCATGTTCATGAAGATAAGCAACTCCTCGGGCCGAGTCAAGAGCAATACAAAGTCTGGCCTTCCAGTTCAGTTCAACGCCATTTTGTCCTACAGCGAAAAACAAAAAAAAAAAGAAAATAAAATTATTAGTGAAGACAAAGTGAAGAGAGAAGAATATATGGTTTTTGTTATTTAAGAGAACCTAACAAACATTCCCTCAGAGTTCCATTAGGCATGAACTCATAAATTAGCATCCGTTCTCCTTTCTGAAAGCAGAAGCCTACAAGTTCAAGTAGGTTTTTGTGATGGATTCTCGAGAGCAACTCAATCTCAGTCTTAAACTCGAGCCCGCCTTGATTTGACTCCAGCTGCTCTCTCTTGATCGCGACTATCTTCCCATTGGAAAGCTTTCCTCTGTATACCTAAAAAACAAATTAATTTTCCATCAACTTTACCGTCTCCAAAAGTTTAGTTTATGTAACAAAGTATAGAGAAGTTAGATACCTTCCCATAGCCTCCTACGCCAATTACATTAATCTCAGGGAAATTGTTAGTGCAGTTCTTGAGTTCATCATAAGAAAACCACCTTGCTCCATTCAATTGTGGTGCTTCCACACTATTTTCTACATCAGGATCCCAGGAAGCTGACAGGTTGAAGATGCATTAATATTTAACAAACTTGACCATATTTTGGTGAGTAAAGAAGTATTTATGCAGATAATACAGTAAAATTTGAAGTAATGTATAACTCATCTAAACTACGATATACATTTTAAATAGCTAGGTGTCTTAGCTTTCCACTACTTGGATGGCTTTTCATGCTCCTGCCTTATATTAGAAGAACTTCATCCAAATCCTTTCACATAAATATGGGATTAAGCGGCAAACACCAAGATGCAACTTTAAGAAAATCCTACTCCTATAATCTAGGAAAAAGTCCATGCTAACGGAAGACTGCATTAATTTCATATGCACAAGCTACATGGCTGAAAGCAAAATTAGAATAAAGCATGTATCTGAAAAGAATAATAATCACTTAATTTTGAGAATTATTCGGTCTGAAAGATTTAGGAGGGAGGGATAGTTTAATCAATGGCTACGAGATTAGTTGGATCATATGGATTATATTAATGCGTCAGAGTTCTATTCTGAATTAGTGAATTGTATGAAGTAGCTGCGTTGAGAGAGACTAGCTCTTGTTTATACTAACTAATTTTATAGAAAAAAAAAGGCAAGTTGAAGGAAGACAATCTCAGATGAAAAGGTCATGTACTGGCAAGTTGAAGGAAGACAATCTCAGATGAAAAGGTCATGTACTGACAGGATCTAAGGCAGACCCTTCGAAGAGGTACAGATTTCCAATGGAGTGATTGATTAAAAAATTGAAACCTACACTATATTGGATAAAATTTAGAGATATTTGAAAAACATATATCTTATGACAATATTATCTAATAAAGAGAATTTCAGTGCACGCTCCTATATAGATAAGGCTTGTATATTTACAAGTGCTTCAGAGACATTACCAAAGGGATTAATAATTTCTATAGCTTTTTGAACCATTTTCTTTTGTCGCATCGCATATATCCCCATGCTTACAAGTCCAACGATCAGAATTGTAAATCCCACCACCATTCCGATGATCAAACCTCTATGGGAAGAGGAACTTGTTCCTGGATATCAAAGTTTTCTCGGTATTGCATCAGAAAGTCAATCTTTTGAGTTTCTTACTAGATATATAAACTAACCTGGGAAATTGTATGGAAGAGCGCTGAAATAGTAAGGACCAAAAATTTTTGGTGCTTTATAATGCCGGTTGCTTAGGTCGAGCTCCATCAATATCTCTGTTCGGTTGAAGTACGCTCCATTTAGAGGGCAAAGCTTTAGCAGTACCTCCAGATAAGAATCACCATTAAAGTGGGGATCTTGAAGAGACACGGAGGCCACGTGTGATCCATATGTATTCCATACAGTTTCCTCTAACTGTTCGAACACCAAGTGATCTGTCACAACTTGAAAGTAGGGTGCTCTGAAAATCATCAGCCCCTCGTATGGATGCAAACAATCATAAATTTGGGCACATGCTTGTGATTTGCAGTGGGATTGATTTACAGAAGGAACAGGTTTCTTTCGTACAGGAAGGCAATAGCTTGTTTCTGATAGATGAATATTTCCGCACACTGGATTACCATGCAGCCTGCAATCCAAGAAGCCAAGAAAACACGAAACACTTAAAAGTCTAGTTGATGGAATTACACATCTTCTAGTGTTTATAAAAACTGATAAAATTCTCACATTATAGTATTGTTATAGTCCACGCTGAGTTCGACCGATGTAAGAGCATTGTTTTCAACATTCACAATTTGCAGTTGATTGCTGATATCGCTGCCCATGTCAAGACTGCCATTAAAGGCATTGTTCTTTAGCACCCTGCGGAAGTGTAACGAAGTTATAAGGATCTGGAAGGTTCATATGATTGATTATGTTATTGTCCTTGATTTTCCTTTTGGCAACCAACTTCATACACTTACACACGCTGTAATCGTGGAAGGCTGAAGAGTTTAGCTGGTACTTTACCAAAGAGCCCTCCAGATTCTATGACCCTGAATATCCACAGTAAAAGGGTCTGGGCTGAGATGGTCGACTATCAAGATATTCATCATGTTCACTACTTGAAATGGTTACTTGCTTTACTTACAAAGATGAGAGATTCTCTAAGTTGGCAAACCAGGCAGGAGCTTCTGAAGGATCAAACGAGTTCTGGCTCAAGTCCCTACAGAAATACAACAGAATTGATTTTATTCATGACGAATAATAGAACAATATTTCCAGCATGGTCAATTTAGAGCTTGGATGTGTTCTTACAGAGTGTCAAGGGAATTCAACAACGTTAGATTCGGCATTGGTCCAGTTAAATTGTTGTTTGCTAAATTCCTGAAGGAGAATAAAACAGAAATATGTGATGTTGACAATTGAAACACTTGCATATGATGTTCAATACATGGCATGCTCTTTATATGGCAGTATCACTTACAGTAATTTGAGGTTTCTAAGATCACTAATAGTTTCAGGAATCTGGCCTGTAAGATTATTGTTGTCAAGACGTCTGTTTGCAACGATTAAAATGATAATTGTTAGCCCATTTATGCTTGAGAAAAAAAAACATGACAGCAAGTTACAATCAAATTAGACTGGTAGCAGTTGAGGAACATACAGAGATTCAAGAGACTGCACAACTCCAATCGAGCCTGGAATTGTACCAGTAAGCTGATTATGGTCAAGAAGTCTGTCTCGGGAAAATTAAGTCATGAGCATATACAACTACAATAAGATAAGAACTGGGAGAATGAAAGCTTACACATGTAACACTGTCAAATTAGAGTGGAAAAGCTTTTCAGGAATGGGGCCAGACAAGTGATTCTTGTTAAAATGGCTGTTGTGTGAAATAGAAAGTTCATCATTCATTAAGTATGTTCAGCGCATAATGTTTATTTAATTCAAGGCGTATAGAAACCAACTTACAAATGCTTTGTATAGACAAGCTGGTCTAATCCTGGCGCTATATCTGTAGAGATGGGAATGGGACCACTCAACTGATTACCTGCCAAGTCCAGAAGGACGAGTTTGGAGAGTCGACCAAGAGAATTTGGTATTTTTCCAATAAACTTGTTCAACTGTAGCGCCCTATGACAAGATGAATCAAATAAAAAATACGCTCAGAGTTTGAGGATTGATAAGCTTTTGTAACAGAATTTTCTTACAGGAAAGTAAGTTCAGATAGATTGCCGATTTCATCTGGGATGTTACCGGTGAAGTTGCATCCAATTAAGAACCTGAGCAATATTGTGGAAAGTATCAAATGTTAAAACATTTTCTTGAACAACACAAATTCACTGGGGGATTAAATCATACAGAGAGGTAAGATGTTGCAGTCTCCCAATGGCTGGAGGAAGTGAGCCACCGAGGTTCCTGTTGTAGGATAGATCCCTACAGGTTTGATATGAACATATTCATTGAGAACTCAGCTCATAATGTAAATATGCTTCAAACCAAAACGTGATAAAACTCAGTTATGTCATAAAATATCTTTAATGAGAGAAAGAGAAGTAATTTGATTTCTTCAATTACTCATAACAATGTGGAAATTAGCTCTGAAGATGGTATAACAAAGAGAGAGATATCCCCTCCAGAAAGAACGACCCATCGAAACTGTCAATTCTCATCTGCGTCGGCAAAGTCTCCTACACCAATGCGAGTCGGTTCCCTTATTGCGGTGAGCTCGTGTCACCGGAACGCAAGAAACGGACCCCTACCAAAGCTGGAAACAATGGTTCTTTCTGGCCAATACTTCTCCAATTGTTGTTGATTCTAGGACTTTACAGCATACGGAATGGTCGCGACCGCAATAGATGCCCTAGATACAATGCACCCAACTGGGGTGGAAAACCAAGATACCGATTTACTCCCAATGATGCCTCCTTGGAAGGCCCCCAAATGCCTGACTGAACACTCTCCAGAAAAGACCCCTCGTTCGATGGATAGAAAGTGCCAACGTCCGCACGCCGGTCTGCCCGCTCATCCTAATTGTGCTCACCAGGATTCAATCTGGCAGGTCATAGCACTCCTCAACACGGTCAATTGCAACGTATTACCAATCATAACCAGCACCAAACAATGCCACAGTGCTACGCCGAATCGTGATGAAGTCGTATTTCCTATCAATTCACCGTGCTTCCGGTGCTAAATAATACCAAATTTCTTGCTTCTGACGCCGCTATCACAATTCATGGACCAAGTGTAACTTCAAGCGTGGGCATCGGCCAAGGTACGCCTATAGCGCAGCTGCCTCCAAAGCTCCAAGTGAAATGTATGTTCTTCTTCACTGAGGAAGCGAACGCGGTCACTCGCCAACAGATACTCCCGAATTCACCGCCGTCACATCATCCTGATCGAACAGGTACGAATACGCAACAATAGAAGCATTTGTGCACTCATTCCGCGCATGAGCACGAAATCCCCTCTTCCACTCCTGGAAAGCTCGAGACAATCCTCTAGGGCAAATGTGGTAATGTAGCACCCGATCCAATATCCACTCTGTATGAGCTAGGCAAGCTACAGAACTGACGCGCGAGTGCAGATAAGAGTACCCGAAGAATCGATATCTGAAGTCGTTGCCACAGCCTTGACAACATGGTCGTCAGCTCTGAAGCGTTGCATAGCTTTTTCCCCTATATTCTTCCCGGCTGCGCTCACTAACTTTGGGCAATCGGCTTCAATGTCGTAACATCTTCTTGGCAAAGCACAGTTGATTCTAACGAACTCCAAGATGTGCCCTCTAGACTGCGACCTCCCACTACGGTTTGTGACCTCTTTGGCCTTGCGACCAGCACGACGCCGTCGCGCCGGCTAAAACCGGCTGCAAACGAAGTTTCCTTATCGCTTCTTTCGACGAAGCTGATAATTCAACAAGGTGGCCACGGGCGGTGGACCTCCACTTATACGAAAGTAGATGCCTTCCCATTTATAGAGTAGAGAACGCAAGGTCTCATATTCCATCGTCAGGCAAGGAACTCAATAGCAACAGACGCCTTGTCCTGCATCTTCAATCTTAACATACCACATTCGCAACAATCCGCAAGAAGCTTCGTGTAGTGTTCATCGTGATCACGCATGAGGTTCCTTCTTCAACTGGACAGCGGTAAAGCCTCCTCTTCAAATCGCAAGCGATTCTCCACACTCTTTCGGTCAAATCTCTGCTCTGCCAAGGATCTCCCTCGCCAAATCTTCCTTTGCGAAGTCTCATTGATCACCCCTCATACCTTTAGATCTTGAGTGAGACAATGACCTAATCACATCACACGCTCGTCGATTCCATCTTTGCCAAAATTCTCATCAAGTGTTGTCCGGTTTTCCGCCCTGTCCAACTCCAATCGTATCTTCCAAAATTTTGCGGGCGTTGACGCGGCATCCATGCCTTCGGCATCGCAAAGTCCAAAATTGTTGTGCGGCATTGACTTTTCCTACATCAATCTGTCATTGAGTGGATAATCGAGCTTTGGGCGGTTTCTCACGCCGAAGACTGGCGCGGCCCACGACCTTCTTTCTCTGGCCATAAATCTCTCAAGCAGCCACCAAAACCATGCGGAAACAACGAAGGAAATAGATGCCAAACTGAAAAATGACTGAGATTTTTACAAAAAAAGAAAGATCCCACCTTTTATCACCAAGATCGAAAGCCCTAGATGAACTTCCAAAGGCGATCTAGCTCCTGCCAAATAAGCCGAAGCGTTTGCCGCGTGCTCTGATACGCACTTGTGTTGTGACTGATGGGCTTTGAGAAACCAAACCAACGAACGCTGCGAAGAAAGACCAAACAAACACAAACACCATAGGTTGTTTACGTGTTCGGTCAGAATTTGGCTACGTGTACGTCCACGGGCAAGAGAGGGGGTGGGTTTTCACTAATAGAGAAGGAGAGTAGCAAATTGAGACTTCAAATCGCCGTCAAGAACGAATCAACTAATGCTCATCGAACGAAATCTCTCAATCTACTCCCAACCAATAACACGTCTAACTAATAGTCAAGAAAGATCTGCTCTTATTTCTGTGTGCTCCAAACGCCAAAACTCTTCTCCCAAAACCTCCAAAATGCTATTGGTATTTATACGCAAAACAGAAAACGCGAATCACAGACATCTGCAAATGGAACACAGTGAACTTTCCAAAAAACCGGCTCATACAGTCGAGCTTATCAGTTGCTGCATAAGTCGACTTGGCAGAGCGGAAAAACAGCAACTGGACGAGAGATCATATAGTCGACTTATCATGAGCACTTGATAAGTCGACTTGAGCAGAGCAAAGAAAGACGGTCAACGAATGCAGCATGCAGAACGTAAAGTCGACTCAATGCACCAAGACATAAGTCGAGCTTACGATAAGTCGACTTAGTGCCTGTTGCATGAGTTCGACGTTATGACAAAAATCTGCTTTTTTTCCAATTCTTCTCTTCATCGTAACCTAGCAGCTCGAGCAGACAAATCTCTTTAGAAGCCGTAACGCCAGAAGGTTGAATAAGTCACCAATTATATTTAAGAGTAAGAAGAGATCCTTTGCGTGGGGCTTATTAGAAAACATCTGTCATTGCGCGTTTCCTCCAACGCGCAAACACGCGAGCGCCCTCTGCTGCGCATTACGTAGACTTCCGTGCGCACCAGATAAGCGGAGGCAAAAGTGCCAGCACTTGCTGAACTTCCTCCAAATATTAGATTCTCTCCCGCCATACACACGTCCACGCCGCAACGCCATAACTTCGTGTTCAAAGAGTTGGATTCTGAAATATGTATGCGAGCATCGTCACGTGGAATTGAATAGTCTCCAAATTGAGTAATAACAAATCACAATTAAAGAAATAAATGAGCATGGATCTTCAATCTGATTGATCTGAACATAAACAAGCATGTTTTCTCCTTATTTGAATACGCTTTCTATTCAGGCATATCTTAGTATTGCTAAGCCGCCTCCTTAAGCAACCACTAAAATAAGATTGGATCTTTAAAGGAACCAGGGGAGGCCCATAAGTTCTACAAATCATACATGCTCACTCCTGCGCATTCATGCTTAAGAAAAACGATAATAGACTTGACTGGTAAACAACTTTTTTGTCTCCCATAACGCAGTCTCTTTGTTCGTGATGATGCGTTCATGAGAAACCAAACTTCAACGAACGCCGAAGAGGGAAGAACCCAAACACACAACAGAAGGGTTTTACGTGGTTCGGCCAGAATTGGCCTGACGTCACACGGCGCGGCCAGAGGGGGTGGGCACAACTTTTCACTAATAGCAGAAGGAGAGTACACATTGGATTAACTCGCTCACACACGAAACCAACTAATTGAATCTCTGCAATCATCCTCCAACGCAATAACTACACTAGTCAGGAGGAGAAAGAAATATGCTGGGAGACTTAGCAATGATGGCGCATCTGCTGGTGGAAGGACTGAGCTCCAAGTGATCCAGTTGGAATGAAACTTCTACTGATCGTTGGTTGCAGTTGGTGGATGGAAAAGATAAGTCTTTTGTTTTTGGTGTTGTGTATAACATGGGATTGTATCTTGGCATATATGTTTGCTATGCTGGTTTTCTTTTGTTCTCCTTTTGGGAGATTATGTCTGATACTTTGGTGGTGGAGGTGTGATTTGGTTTTGTAAGTTTTTTGGTTAAACAGTAGTTCATACTCTATGGTTGGGAGTATGATCGGTTTTTTGTAACAACCATCTATCTTAATTTAGCTGGCTGGAATACCTTTGTGGTATTCCATCCTTTCTCTCAAAAAAAAAATATATCTTTAATTAATAATGGATGAAAAGTGGTATTGAATCATCATCGAAGTTAATTTGTCTCTTCTTATACAGATTTTGGTCAGGATTGCAACCAGGATAAAGGTTTACTCTTCCAAATTCCATTCCATTCTATATCCTCCTTTCCTTCTGGTTCATATAGCTCATGGTGATTCAAGATCATTATTTGTGCCCCACTATACTTTAATTGATGTTCAAGTTTACTCTTCCAATAAATTTTAGAATTTAGTTGTTTGTATGTAAAAAAAATAAGTATTAGATTCAAGAAGTTTCTTTCAAGTCCAGTACAATTCGTTACTTTTGGGAACGCAGATGAACCTAACATAATTAGAATCTTGAAAAGGTTAGCAGAGTTGACCGCCAGTACTGTCTTAAGAAGAGCTATCCAGGTCAAGTCACTTTTATGAGCATTTTTATTAAATTTGCAGAGTGATGACTAAGTTTCTCGAATTTCTTATATTATGAAATTTAATTAAATGACTGCATGAGATTATACTGCAAACCTTTTAGATGTTGTTTTGAAACTATAAAAAGAAAATCTCACAGGATTTGAAGTTCAGTGAGGCTTCCAATGTCACTGCTCAGAGTACCTTCAATGCCCATGTTGTATAACTTCCTGAATAGCAAAAATAGGTAACGAGAAAATGTTAAAAAGAAATAGAAAATGGGAGGTAACATCAATATAAGTTAGGATTAAAGACTTAACAGTTCAATGACCCTGGAATTGTTGCATGTAACTCCTGCCCATGGGTTTCCACCACAAGGATCACCTGATTTCCCCCAGTCTGGTGGGATGTTCTTCATATGCTCCATTAGTGCTCGGAGAGCAGCACCTGCAAGTTTTCAGAAGAAATTTAGACAACAAAAAGTATGTATAAATTAATAACTTCTATCCAAAGGCCATATGACATAAAACGGCTTTACAAGATATAGCATTATATAACATTCCTATTTTACAATTTTGGTGAAAAATGCTATTAGTATTTAGTACCTCATTGACAAAATCCTTCAGGAATGTAGTAAACATTCAGGTCAAGATGATCAGAAATAGATGCACTAATTGATTGATATGAATGATGCTTTTGTAATGGGAAAAACATAAGTGGATCAATGTGGATCCAATGGGTAAGCTTCCTCAACCTCTAGTTAGATGCAATGCACTTGCCAAGTTAACTGCAAAAAATCAGACAATCGCTCGCCATGATCTAATGAAGTGGTTATCAGAAATAGATGCACTAATTGATTGATATGAATGATGCTTTTGTAATGGGAAAAACATAAGTGGATCAATGTGGATCCAATGGGTAAGCTTCCTCAACCTCTAGTTAGATGCAATGCACTTGCCAAGTTAACTGCAAAAAATCAGACAATCGCTCGCCATGATCTAATGAAGAAAATTTCATAGGTGGGACACTGAAATAGATAAGCTGAAAAAAACAAGTTAAGGGTGTTTTTTTGAATAAATATCTTCAAAAACTTGCAAAATATTCCATTTTAATTCTAATGCGCTAGCGCTTATAATTTTTATGTGCTTGGCAAGTGTTAGCCTTGTCAACAAACAATATTAGGGCTTCAGTCGCATGGGATTATGAATAGTGGTGACAAATGCAATAATTGCCTGATCTAGTAATGTTACTCAGTAGACAAATTTCTGATTAAAGCATATGAAAACTAAATAAGGAAGCTCATGTTGAATTTTTTTTTTTTAATTATTGGATACTTTCTCCATTGGATGACACCGATGGAAAATAAAATTTTGATGATGAAAGTATCATGAAAACAGTGTGCACGCACTGATGAACAAGGGATGGACAGAGAGAGATCAGAGAAAGAACTCTATCTTCACAATTCCAGATATAAGAAGAAAGAGAAGAAGAAAGTACCATCTTGGCTGTATATACTTTCGGAACCAACTCTAAAACCTACAGTGCACAACAATAGCAGCAGTACAAGCGCAATTGACAACCTCATTTCACCTTAGCAGCACAGACTTGCGACCAAAAGCCCAGATGAAGGAAAATATATGAGATTTCAGACATTCCCTTCAACTGCATGAGATGAATGAAGATTGATACTTTCCACAGTTGACTTTAATATCCAATAGATATTGAGTAGTTGATATAGAGACCATTATGTTAGTTAAGTCCCAACTTGCTGGAGACCAAGTCTTAGGCTATGTCAACTAAAGTTAGGACTCGGTCATTCCGAATGCAGAAGCAAACAGTTGCTTGAGGATACCAAGAGCTTCTAGACCATTTTAAGGGATAAAGTTCTCATTAGCAGGCGTTTTCAGGCAACAATAATAATTCTGAAGATAGTTGACGTAGTCAATTGACTTTTGTAATAGAAGGCTTGATCAAAGTCAAGGAAATAAGGTTTTTTGCAAAAATTAAGGAGGCACATCTTGCGACCAATTGCAAATTGTTTTCTCTACTTCTGAAGGATGTTTGACGTTGGCAGTTAAAAACTCTAGTTATCCATGAAGAGAAATTGTTATCTTATATTTTGCCTTAGTTTCGTCTTACTCTCCCTGGCAGTTAAAAACTCTAGTTATCCATGAAGAGAAATTGTTATCTTAAATGGTTTCAAAATCTTTTCCAAAGAGTACAATTAGTCCGCTATTTATGATCTGAATATATTAATGACATGCCATTTTTGTAAAAAGTAACACATTGTTAGGGATTTTATGGAGATTAATCTGCGGAATTAAACACTATACGAATAACAGCACCAATAAAAAATACCACAAGCAAGCAAACACCAAGATTTAACGTGATTCGGCAAATCGTGCCTACGTCCACGGGACAATCCAGAGAGAAATATTTCACTATAAATCAATAGTACAACCTCTCCAAGTTACACCTGAACTTGAGAATTAAATCACAAGAGAAAGATACAGTGTTCACTAAAACCCTAAAACTCATCTCACCAAAAAATCCCCAACACCCGCGGAGAAACCAACACCGTACCCTCGACGGCGTCGTTGTTTTGAAGACAATGGCTTTTGAATCACTGCAATTGGACAACCGAGCTATCCGGAATCTCACTTTTTCTCTCTCTCTTTTTCTCTCTTTCTCTTTTCTTTTCTCTGGTACTATTCATGGTTATTGTTGCGCACATATGCGGAAGCGTGCTCGCACACCGAACGAATCTGTAATCACGAGAGAGGAGAACCAACCGCACACGAGCACAATTCGAACCAAATACGACAAATCAAACCAAACACAGAGATATACGTGGTTCGGCAATTTACCTACATCCATGGGGAGAGGATGGGAAGATTTCACTAAATCAAGGAGAGTACAAAGGGTTACAATCTCACAAAATCACTCACACTAACCCTAAACCAAATCTCTCAACTCGCTCATAAATTCTCCCTCTCAATATGCTCAGTACAATCTAAAATCTCTGTTAAGAAACCCTAGAAAACCGTGTTTTAATTTATATCAAAACACAAACCCAATGCGAACAGGAAACCAAACTCAAGCCCAGCCCGACTCGCGATCGACCGCAGAGACGTGCGGTCGACCGCAGAGACATGTGCTGTTAACCGGACAGAACGACAGAGACTGAAAAATATTACAGGGTTTGGCCGGTCAACCGTCGCGCCAATCGCGGTCGACTGCGAAAAGGCCAGAGACTTTTTCAGCTTGCGTGCACGTTTGCGATCGACCGTCGCGCCACTCGCGATCGACCGCTGAAAGTCCAAACTTGTTTTCTATCGTTTTTCCTGTATTCTCTTTAAATCTCCACCTCGGTGAAGTTTTCTCAAAACTGAGCCGACACCAAACGAAGAGCATTACTGCATCGTCTCTCCAAAATTGACCGCATCAATATGGTTGCCTACGTATTCCCTCTCCCAATGGATCAAGTCATCCGTAGTTCATCCAAATGGCCGTCAAAGGGCCTCAACAATCACGAATGTGCAATAAGTTTTAACAATGATCAAACTTGTTGCTCGGAACCACCTTAGTGAGCATATCCGTCGGATTATCCTTCATGTGGACCTTCACAATCTCCACATCGCCATCTTCAAGAACATTTCGAACGAAGTGATAACGAACGTCAATGTGCTTCGTCCTTGCATAAAAAACCTGATTTTTTACCAAATAGATAGCACCCATGCTATCACAATAAATAGTGACGGACCGCTGTGATATACCAAGTTCCTCCAAAAGCCCTCGAAACCAAATAGCCTCCTTTACAGCTTCCGTAATCGTCATATACTCTGCCTACGTCGTCGACAAAGCCACCATAGACTGTAAGGTGCATCTCCAACACACCGGCGCACGGGTTAAAGTGAACACATACCCTGTAGTAGACCGACGTTTATCCAAATCCTCGGTATAATCCAAATCAACGTAGCCAATACACAACTGCCCACCTCTAGTGTCCCGCTCAAAAATCAAACCAACATTAAGCGTACCTCGAATGTACCTCAAAATCCATCTCACGGTGTCCCAATGACCCACTCCTGGATCGTGCATGTATCTCGAAACCATGCTCACCGCCTCCGACAAATCTGACCTCGTGCATACCTCGTGTACATCAAGTTTCCAACCACGCTCGCATATGGAGTCTTCGACATCAACTCTCGATCTTCAACTGTCTTCGGTAAGAGGTCAGCTGAAAGCTTCAAATGGGCTCCCAAATGTATACTAACTGGCTTCGTATCCATGCTAACATGAAATCGTTGTAGAACATTCTTTAAATAAGTCACATGTGTCAAACAAATTCTGCCCTTCTCTTTGTCTCTGCAAATCTCCATCCCTAAAATGCGCTTAGCCTCACCCAAATCCTTCATCTCAAACTCCTTTGAAATCTGTGCTTTCAACTCATTTATAGAAGACCTGAAAATAGAGGCAACCAATATGTCATCGACATAAAATAACAAATAGATGTACGCACCTCCTCTTAACTTATGAAAATACACGCAATGATCAAACTGGCTCCGGGTGTACGAATGACCAAGCATAAAGCCATCAAATCATCTATACCACTATCGAGGAGACTGCTTCAAACCGTATAGCGATTTCTTTAACCTGCAAACCAACTTATCATTCCCTGCAGCTCGGAATCTCAATGGCTGAGTCATATATATTTCTTCATCAAGATCATCATGAAGAAATATCGTCTTCACATCCAACTGATCTAACTCAAATCTATACTGTGTCACCAAAGCTAGCAAAATCCGAATCGAAGAATGCTTCACCACTGGAGAGAAAATCTTATTATAATCAATTCATTCCTACTGTGCATAGTCCTTCACAACCAACCTAGCATTGAACCTCACTGGAGCGCCTTCAATGCCCACCTTCTTCGTGTACACCCACATTCAACCAATTACCTTCCGCCCCTTTGGAAGCTCAACAAGCTCCCATATACCGTTCTTGTGAAGAAACTTCATCTTCTTCTGCATACCTACCTGTCACGAATCAGCCTCCGAACTCTGCTCGACCTTTCTGGATGTAGTAGGTACCAACTCATCGATACTCTTCACTGAAAGTGCATATGCAACTACTGTGTTGGTATACCATGCTGACATCCCTATGTCTCCCATCTGTCTTTGAACTATAATAGAATCCTGAACCTAAGCCGTCGGTCCCTGATCCTGTGCAACTGTACCCGTATCCTCCTCGTCATCGTCGTGCTCGCCTGACGTCACCTCAGTCGGCACTCTAATGGATAATGTATCATCTGATAATGTGAAGCTGTATCGATCTCCACCACCTACGATATCTCCTCTATCGGGTCGCTCTCCACCGGATGAGAACTGGGAAGCTTCAAGATAGAAGCCTCATCAAACGTAACGTCCCTACTCAGCACAATCTTCCTATCAACTGGATCCTATAGCTTGTATCACTTGACACCATGTTTAAATCCTACAAATATGACCTTCCTAGCTCGAGGTTCTAACTTATCAGTCTTCACATGATAGTATGTAGGGCACCCAAATACCTTGAGCTGATCATAATCGTGTGTTGGCTCTCCCGACCACATCTCCATAGGGGTCTTCCCCTCAATCGCAGATGAAGGTAGCATGTTAATGAGATGGCTCGCATATGAAAGTGCCTCAGTCCAAAAAGTCTTCTCCAAACCATTATACGCCAACAAACATCGGATTTTCTCCAGTAAAGACCGATTTAACCTCTCTGCCACCCCATTCTGCTGCGGTGTATGACTAATTGTGAAGTGTCTCTCTATGTCCTCGTCTCGACGTAGCTGCAGAAAGGGGTCTGATATGTACTCGCCATCGTTGTCGGATCGTAACGTCTTGATCTTTCTCTGAGTCTGCAGTTCCAACCTCTTCTTTCACTCCAAAATATATCTAGGACTTCACTCTTCTTCGTCATGGTGTACACCCAACAACGTCTAGAATAGTCATCAACGAACGTGATGAACCAATGTCCACCACCAAGTGATGCAGTCTGACTTGGTGGGACCCCAAACATCTGTGTGCACATAATCCAGGATGCCCCTCGTCCTATGCATGACTGTCCCGAACTTCACCTTCGTCTTCCTGCCAAGTACACAGTGCTCACAGAACTTAACTTTTTCACTATTGACTCCCTTCAATAGCCCCTGTTTACACAAAACCTGCAGTGACTTTTTTTCTGTGTGTCCTAACCTGTAGTGCCAAAGTCTGCTAATATCCGTCTCTGAAATAGTTAAAGCAACCTGGCAAATCTCGGTGCTCCCCTTCAGATAATATAAGTTCTGACTGCGGACTCACTTCATTACCACTAAAGATTCTTTAGTAACCTTTGCTACAGCATCCTCAAAGGTCACCCTGAATCCCTTTACCTCCAAAGTCCAAACTTAGATAAGATTCTTTTTTAACTGAGGAACAAATCTCACCTCCTTCAATTCACGGACTATTCTATCATGCATCCAAATCCTCACGGTACCTATCCCACAAATACCACAGGATGATCATTTCTTATGACAACAACACCCCCATCGAATCTCTCAAATGATGAAAACTAATTGTTGGCCTTCTTGTTTTGATGATAATTTACAAACAATTTA